AAAGTTAACATTTTTTTCATCAGTCCCTTGTTCATTGGTATTATACAAAATATTATCATGTACAATTTTCATTACATAGCAATTTTCTTCCAATAAATGCCTAAATATTTGTTAACAAATATGATTAGAATACTGTCATATGCAGTGAGCAGAAATACTTAAGAGACAAAGGAAAAAATAAGTAGCCTAAGTAATAAAGACTTAAATCAAAACATATCAGTGAGAATCCAGACTATTTCTCTATATACAGAAATATCTAACTACCTAAATGATATCATGAAAGAACCAAAGATCTTAAATTACCTTAATTAAACATTCTTACAGTGGCAAGAAAATTCATAAGCTATACAAACATAAATGCTTTTAATTTGTTGAATAATTAAATGCTCTTTAGGAGCAAAATTTTATGCTATGCTTCTTATATTTCCATGCTAACGTAAGGTATGTAATTATGGGAACTATGAAAACCAACAATAAAAACATTTGAAATTAATGGTACCTAAAGTTGTGCTTGGAAATTAATGCTTTTTCCCACCCCGAAACAACAAAGTTGATTCTATTAAATGTGATAAATGAAATGTAAATTAAAATTTTAATAAGGTGCTTGTTAATCCATTTGTTCACAGCTAACTTGAACTCAGTTAAATTAGCTCCTTATTATGAGCACTGGAGATATGATTTCTTCTAAATCTCAAGGGCAAATAAGTGTTAGAGGACTGCTTGTCCCACGATAGCTCCATAAATTGTTATTAAAATTATTCACTAGACACTTTTTCTGTGATGCATTTCATTTAGAAAATCAATTCTGTGTGTTGTTAAAGATAGTAAAAGTCCTCTACCAGCAATCACACCACCAGATACAAAGGCGAAATAAATCCACATATGAGCTATCCTGGGATATTTATCATTGCCTTGGTCATTCTATCTCCATGAATTGCAGAAAATGGTTTTTAAGTACTTGTAAAATACCACATGATTTCTGAGGCACAGGATTTCTCATGGCCAGTTTGAAATTTTTTTAGTATTTGTTAAATGTTCTCTTTAATCTCCAGGATAGTGTTTCTCAAATTTGGGACCTGCAGAGAGATTAGCTAGGTAATACAGTGTATCTAGTGTATGTCTAATGTGTCTAGTGTAAATCTGAACATCAATTTTATGTAAAATTTTAAATATAATACATTATAACTTAAAAATTGAAACAATAATTAAAATTCATAACAAATTAATTTTCCATGCCAAGGAGAGAGAGATGTTATTTTTTACAGTGTTCTACCAAGAAGTCTGTGGCTTGACCATTAATAAACCATCACTAAGTAGAGTCCAAACAGTTGGTTTAACTTCTTACCCTTTATTTCTACCACATGGAAAAGCCTATGTCATAATTACGAATGATCTAAAATAACTACCTATGCTTGGTGGCTCTCTCAGGCAATTCTCAAAATGCACATCAAGCATGGAGTTCTTCAACAAAATAAAGGCAATATTGTGCCTTATGAGATACCAGGTTAACAATCATTTTGCCCACATATGTGGAAAGGTTATGAGTTTCTAGAACTCTTAGAAATAAGGTGATAATAACTGCAGAAAATGCAAATTTAAAAAACATAAGCCACAACTTAGAATATAGCAACTGAATGCTTCTTAAGAACTAATGGTCCTTAAGCATATTTACCACCTCTGAAAACAATTACTGGACCTGGACTAGCCAAAACAATCTTGAAAAATAAAAACAAATTTGGAAGAATTGTACCTAATTTTAAAACTTATTCCAAAGCTACTGTAATCAAGGCAATTTTGATTGGCCTAAGAATGGATTTATAGATCAGTTGAGTCCAGAAATAAACCTATGCATCTATGGTCAATTGATTTTGAACAAGAGTGTCAAGATAATTCAGTGGGTATAAAAGAGTCTTTTCCACAAATGGCCCTGGGACACTAGAAATCTACATGTAAAAAAAAAAAAAAGAACAAAGTTGGACCTTTATTTCATACCATATACAAAAATTAACTCAAAATGGATCACAGAAGTAAATATAAGAGCTAAACCTATAAAATTCTTAGAAGAAATCATAGGTGTAAATCTTTGTAAACTCAGCTTAGACAATGGGTTCTTAGAAATAATACTAAAAGCACAACAGACAAAAGAAAATATGAATAATCTGAAGTCCATCAATATTTTTAAAACTTTGTGCTTTAAAGGACACCATAAGAAAATGAAAGGGCAACCTTTAGAATGGGAGAAAATATTTACAATCATTGTATCTGACAAGCAACTTCTATCTAGAATGTATAAGGAACTCTTAACAACTTACAAATAAAAAAGAACCAATTTAAAAATTGGGCACAGGATCTGAACGGACATTTCTCCAAAGGAGATATACAAATGTCCAATATGTATGAAAAATTTTCAACATCGTTAGTCATTAGGGAAATACAAATCTAAACCACAACAAGATATCACTTCCAGGATGCCTAAAATTAAAAAGGCAGAAAATAACAAGCAGTAGTGAGGATGAGGAGCAATTGGGACCCTCATTCATTGTTAGTTGAATTATAAAATGTTGCAGCCATTTTGAAGACAGTTTGTCAGTTTCTCAAAATGTTAAATGTAGAGTTATCATATGACTCAATAATTCTATCCCTACGTATACACCCAAGAGAAATAAAAATATATATCCACACAAAAATTTGTACACAAATGTTCAGATCAGCATTATTCATAATAGCCAAAAAAGTGAAAACAACCTTAATATCTAATCATAAATGAATGGACAAGCAAAATGTTGTATGCTCATACAATAGAGTATTATTCAACCATTGAAAGGAATGAAATATGGATAGATGCTACACAATGCATGAACTTTGAAAACATGACCTAAAGGAATTAAGACAATTACAAAAGACCACATATTGCAAGATTAATGTATATGAAATGTCCAGAATAAGCAAATCAATAGAAATAGAATATTCATGGTTCTGAGAAGGTGTGAGGGAAAACAGAGAATAATTGATAATGGGAATGGAGGTTATTTTTGGAGTAATGCAATGTTCTAAAATTAGTGATGGGGTCAATCAACTTGGTGAATATACTAAAAATGATTGAATTGTATGGTTTACAAAGGTAAATTTTGTGGTATGTAAATTATATCTCAATGAAGCTATTATTAAAAAACAATTGGTAAATACATGATGGAAATGTGCATATATCATGTCAAATCTCAGATAAGGCTCCTTTGTATGTTGTCCAAAAGTACTTTTAGTGGTAGGAACCATTTTATTCAAATCCTTACTTCATACATAAAGAAAGCAAGGTGCAGTGCTATAAATTACTTACTCAGGGGCTATTAGTCTGTATTTATTAGGATTACAGAGGAAATGAAAAATGCTTTTAAGTAACACAATATACCTTAAGGTTAAACTAAATTTGGGGAGAAGAATTCAAAGCAAATTTAGTGGCAAACTAGAAGAAATCTGTTTCATGACTGTAAAAAGTGATACAATGGAAAGCAGTCAGTAGCTTCAAAATCTACATGAAATGGAATGAAAAAGTCAAATGGTTTTGTCAAGATTCTGGAATCATAGAATTATAATTGCCACATACGTATAAGAACAATGACACAAAAACAATGGGGCCCTGCTCAGGATGGAGTCATATCAAAAGCACATTTCTTTAGAACTCAGCTGATATGACGAAAATAGCCTCCAAATAATTATGGAGAAAGAGAGAGGCCTTGATGGACAACTAATAAAAGTAGAAAAGAATAAATGCATTAGAAAGTATTCAATGATTCATACAAAAGAAAAAGATAAGGAATTCAAAAATAATCATAATTAAATATACTGAGAGTTTAAATTATCTAGTATTATATTGTCTTAGTAAAGAAAAAGTAATGGACATTTTTCATAGATTTTCTTAATATGTAGAGATATAAGATTTAAAATTGCAAGTTATTAATGGAATGATATGGCCTGAAAAAATAAAACTAAGCAAGATAAAACAAAATAAGCCAAGTGACGTGGGGGAGGAGAGTACCATAATATTTTGAGGATGGTATTATTTTGAATGTTTATTCATAATCTTGTGGTAGAAACAGATTGGAGAAATAGAAGAAGAGAGAAGAAAAAGAAAGATACCACTATAGCATCATTTCCTGCGGCCAACTAGAGGCAATGGACTGGTGCATTCCTGATAACGTCACAAAATTTATAGAGACAAGATGACAAAATACAGTAATGTGGATTTAAATAGAGTAATATGGAAACAGAGTAATATGGAAAGATTTCAACTTCTTAGTCATCAGCTGGAATTTCTATCAGTGACCATAAAACAACTGAAAACTTTCTGTGCCTTGCTAACAATTTCATCAGCCCAAAGATAAAGAAAGTAGATATGACAGGTGAGATGGGAGGTACTCTTTGAGAAATATTTCTCATCCCAAGGCGGGAACCGGGTGGCAAAGTGGAAGTGACAGAAACCTGGGAGAAAGTTACCATGTCATCTCAGAAAAAAGTTTAAGCAGAGTCAGATATGAAGCTATTTCTAGTGTTGTTGAAGACGAAGCTGTTGCTGCTGCTTTATGTGTCATTTCCTTTGTTCTTTTGGTCTCTTTTTCAAGAATGGACCTTGGAAAAGAATACTTCTAATAGAAGTCCCGTACATGGCGGTAGGGGAAGGAGGAAGGAAGGGAAGAAAGAAAGCTAGAATAATTATGTTTATTTAAGAAAATAATTTAAAATCAACAAGAAATTTTTAATGAGAAGAAAACCAAAGATTTTTATCTCAAAATAACAGATATAAAATGCTCAATTGATAGCTAATTAATTTGTTTTCAGTAAGCTGACATAAAACTTTCTAGCAGATAAAAAATCTTAATCTACATTAGATTAAGATTTAGGAAGTTGATTGATTAAAATAGACAAAGACACCTTAAAATAGTAGGTAGCCATGCACCATATGAATATTTGAAAAGTTCATGTGACTCGGAAATAGCATGTCTTACCTGAATCCTCCATGCTCAGACTATCTGAGCAAGTAATTGTTTTTGGTCCAATCTACTGTAAACTCTACATTTTCAAATTCTCATTCTCATCCTCTTCGCTTTCATGACAAGCCTATTGTTTTCCTTTCCTTTTTCATGCCCTAGAACAAAAGGGCCAATTATAAGGAATTGTACCAAAATACTTCATGATATTTAAAAATTATTCAGGTGTTTGCCATTCAAACCACAGTCTGGTAAGATTAATGAATAATGAAATGTTAATATTATATGCCTGTTATTAAATTGAAAATTTCTCACAAATAGTACACATTTAAATACTAGTAAGAAAGACAATTTTTCTCCAGTTTCATTAGGGTTTGGGATAGGGAATAAAAGAAATAAGAATTATTTAGGAATATTCATTTTTCATGAGTAGGTTGTCCATTTGAGAAATAGATAAACACAGGGTCTGGGTCTAGATTAGAACTTGAGTTCTTTCTGTTCAAACCACTGGGATGTGCTATTGTAATATATTCACTGCCAGGAGATACATTACTGAGCAAATGATGGAATCTATCATATAGAGAAAAATTGACTTCCCATCAACTGCATAATATGAAAAGAAAAACTGTAATGAGAAGCCGTGTCAAAATGTGAAATAGTATGAAATATATTCATCATTCACATATGAAAAAGAAAGAGTATCACCTGCCCATTGCAGACACTTAAAGGTAAATGAACAATGAGTAAAGGGTGGTAGTGCCTCCAGTTTGGATGACAACATTCACATTTACCTTGTGCTATATTTATTGGCTATTTTTTAACTTTAATGAGACCTGAAAAAAGGTTTCAATGAGGCCACGAGATGTAGAGAAGTGTTGGCCAAAAAGCAATAATTACAATACAGCATAGGTCAAAAAGCCACAGGCTATTATAGTTCAAATTACTATTCATCCAATCCTGGTTAAATCTAGTATTACAACTAAAAAGAAGAATATAAGCATTTATAAATATTTATGTATTTTGTATTGACAGTTCAGATATTTTTTGAAGACCCAAAACTGAAAATCTTTAAAATACCTCTACAGAAATGGAGGCATATAGTTACCCTTTATCCATCTTATCACCCTAGAATATAAACTTGGTATTATTAATTATTAACAAACCATATACCAAAGGCAATAAAATTACAAAAATTTAAACCAATGAACACTTTAAGTGAGCTCATTCATATCCCTAAGTTATAAGAAATACTTTCAAAAAAAAAATAGAAATTTGAAGAAATACTGCTTTAATCGGTTTTTTTTTGCATAGCCATTTAAAAATATAAACAGATAACAAATTTAAGATTTTATCACATAATTTGCAAGGCCACATACAAGTTCAAAGTATTTGTACCAGAAACCACCTTCACTTTGTGCTCTTGCTACTCATAGTCCTAACCAGATGGGGAAAACTTTGGACCTAAATTGCAGATAGTCAGATCACCCCCAAAAGTTTTAATAGTTAATCTTTTAATGTTTTGCTTCTTTAAAACCCTGCCTTATTTTATTTAAATGTATCCAGGTTATATATAGAAACTATCCAAATTCTGAAACCTACCAGCAACACATAGCCAAAGGAATAAAATAGAGTTTGGGATAATTTACCAAACTGCAGTCCACAAAAACTGAATCTCTTAAGTTTAAAATTATGCCAGAAAACTTTGAGAAATAGGTAACATGACAAATGTCTTTTCATATATAAGGGCCTCTAATGTGAAAGCTGTGGGTTAAAAAAAAAAAAAAAAAAAGGTTCCTGCATTGCCTCAGAAACAAATCCAATCTGTCTGGTAGAAACTTCAAAAGGATAGGTTTTCACTCAAGACAAGAAAAAATATTTTAATAATTTAAAATATCTAATTATTTGCCTGAGGGTAATCATGTTTTCTTTCAATTGAGGTAATCACTTAAAGAGATGATAGCTATCTGTCAGAGCTCCTGTAGAAACAGTTCCTCATTAACAGCTGAAGTGGAAGAAAAAAGCCTTAATGTTCCTTAAAATTCTGAATTCTGTAGTTTAAAGATAACACCTTTAGTTTTATGGAAATCATCACCTATCTGGTTTTTCCTTTTCTTTCTTCTTTGAATTATGGAGAATGGAGTAGGTGGGCATCTTTGATAACTCAGGAGAGATTGTAAATGATTAAGATACATTTGATACATTTGATACATTTTCTACATTTCTACATTTAAAAATGAAGAAAAAAACAGTATTAGCTAGGGTTTGGGGAAATTTAAATTTTCATGTGAAATTGATGGGAGAGTAAATTATTATAAACATTCTATAGGATCTTGGATGGTGGGTAAGTATATCTTGAGCCCAGCAATCACATTCCTGGGAATTCCCTCCTAGAGACACTATGCAAGGTTATCTCAAAGTTATGCACTGGAGAATGCTCATATGAATCTCATTTATAATGGCTATAAATTTTAAAGAACTTAATTTTAGCTAACAATTAAATAAATTATACTATATTAAATAAATTATAGTATATAGACTATCAGGTGGTCATTAAAATTGGTGTAAAATTATTTTTATTTACACAAAAAGAGGAGAATGTCCATCTAGTAAAATAAAATCTCTTTCTGTGATTAAATACATATCAATACACATATGCCCACAGACACACATTTAGACTCACGGTTAAATAGGAGTGCTGATTTTTTTATGTTTTCCCTTATACTTCTTTGCATCGGTAACTCTGTTAAGAGGGAATGTATTATTTTAATAAATAATTATTGAATTATTTTTTAAGAATTAAAAATTTTCTCATGACAGTTGTATCTTTATCTGAGAAAAGCTTTTAAGTGAATAGTAAAAATCAGTATATAAGATCAACATACAAAAATCAATTATATTTCTATACATAAGCAATGAATAACCTGAACATGAAATTGAGAGAATGTGAAATTCTCAGCATCAAAAAGAATAAAATGCTTAGGAATATATTTAACATATTAAAAAATATTTAGTGAGCTCCTACTGTATGTTAGGCCCTGCTTAGGAACTGACAGAGAAGGCACATCAAGCAGAATCCCTGCCCTCATGAATCTTCTAGGCAGGTGGTTTACATTTTTTAGATATTCCAGATAATAGTACAATGAATTTCCTTTACAAGTAATTTTGTATAATTAAGTGTTCCATTAGATGGTTTTCTATAATTGCTATATTACAGAGCATACAAGTTTTAAAATTGTCATCAATGGCTAATTGCTCTGTGAAAATGTGGTACCGAAAACTTTCCTGCTCACAGTCTTTGAGAGAGCAGTAATATTTTAAAGTACTGAAAACTGAGCATATGACTCTACTTATATCTAATAATTCTTAAATAGTTCAAACTTTGAGGTAAAACTGATATCAAAAGGAATATGTCTTCTTAATTTAGAAAAAAATTTAAAAAAAACCTGAACTACAACTATCGTTCAAATAAAATAGTCCAAAAAGTAAAGATCTTCCTTGTTGAAAGCTAGAAATAATTGCATTTGCTACTGAATTTTCCAGTCATCATTCCTCATGTATAAAATGAAAAGAGTTGAGTCATATTTCTTTTCAAAACTGAATCAAGTTAAAAAACTAAATCAGATCTTTAAAAGAAAACCGCCCACCAAAAAGGAAATTGCCTTCCCTCACTTGAAAATATAGCAGTATGTTACCTCATTAAAATGCCAACATGTAAGGTATATGTGGTTGGTAAAGAAGAAATAAAAACTCTTGTCAACCCTGAGGTTAGCAGGCTTTGTAAAGTGACGTAGTCTAGAAGTAGAGGATTATTTAGTGCACTAAGAGGTAAAAGGAAGGCCATCAAAAATAAAACCTCCCTGTTAAGCATGAATCAAATTCTCAACTTAACATACACATTCACAATCAAGCAAAGCTTCAGTATGTGCAAGAAGAAAAATCAAAGTCCACTACAGGAAAATCTGTAAACACTTATTCCAACATGGAGTATACGACACATAATATTACTTAAATCCCCAAAGATTTGGTTTAATATATTTTCCTATATGAGTGCTTGTAAATATAGGGGAAAGTAATGTATTTTTATATTGCTTTTGGAAATATTCCCAATTACTACACAGTGTTTTTTTTGTGTTCTAAAAACTATCTTTAAAATATATGTACTCTGGAATTATTATTCCAACAATTATTCTTACAAGATTTCCTTAAACTACCCCCCCCAAAAAAATCAAAAGGATTTTGGATAGATAGTCCACAAAAATTAACTGACATTACTTTAACAACTATTTAAAACAACAACAACAACAAAAACCAAGAGGCAGACATCTTCCCTAACACTTATTCCAACTGGTATCTACACACAAGTAAAAAATAACCCAAGGATACTATCATTTTCTTACCAAAAAATTAACATGACTTGTCCAAGAAGTCACATGTTGCCACTGTCTATGTATACTCTATATTTGGGTTACTAATAAGAGTTAGTCCTTCTCGGGCGCCTGGGTGGCTCAGTCGTTAAGCGTCTGCCTTCGGCTCAGGTCATGATCCCAGGGTCCTGGGATCAAGTCCCACATTGGGCTCCCTGCTCGACAGGAAGCCTGCTTCTCGCTCTCCCACTCCCCCTGCTTGTGTTCCCGCTCTCGCTATCTCTGTCAAATAAATAAATAAAATCTTTAAAAAAAAAGAGTCCTTCTATGCTTCTACTTGTTGACTCTATTACTATGATAACCATCTCCTATTATGTTACTCCATTTGCTGATCCCCATTTCTAAATACTCTGCTGTGTTATCTTTTAAAATCAAAAAGTATTCCCCTCTTCATCAATGGGCATCAATCTCCTAAAGTACAAAAAGCACTGAAATTAGGGTAAGACCTTCAATTTTAACTTCCTTCCCCTTCCACAAACCTATGAACAAGTTATAAATCTTCATGGTTTCCTCATCAGTACAATATGGTCTCTACCTGAAATAACTTATCTCTCTGCAAAGATTGTGAAGGCAATTTGATACATTTTATACAAATAAATGTTCTTTGAAAACAAAAATATAACTATGTATATTTTAAAAACTATACATATAGCTACAAATATAGAACTAACACACACACACACACACACACCTGTATTCACCTACCCAGATTCTCCCAGAAAATTGATAAAATT